TTGCAACTGTCGACGCCGACATCGGCGGCGGCTGCTGCGGTTGCGGCTGCAATGACATGATGGTGATAAGTTGCTTCCCCCCACAACAGGCGTTTATTCCATCATTGCGAGCAGTCTGTATCAATATTCAAATCAAAAGCTGAAAATATTTATGGAATCTGTTAATCCATACGCAAAACACAAATGCCAATTGAAATCGTTGAAATGCGCGCCATATTAATATTAATGATCCAATTGGAAATACATACACACACACGCATATATATATCGCTGCTGTCTGTGTGCGTGCATTTGTATAGATCACAACAATTTAAGACATTCCAGCACAATGTAAACAATTAACTGAAGCAAGTGAGCACAGAGGCTGTTGTTCGCGTGGGGCAAATTTAGGAACTAAATATGCTTACACCTTAATCACTAACTAACACTGTCAGCAGACACAGGTGAATGCAAGCAACCTTTCAATATCCAAACGCTCAGCTCGCAAAGTCACTTTAACTCAATTTCGCGCTTCGTTAACTTTGGYGAGACGCGTTCGGACAGCGATTGTCAGTTTGCTGGACAAAAAAACATACATACATATAAATATATACATATGCTTATACGACTGCCAATTGTGCGTTCCACGCCCAACACAACAGAGACTATGCACCACCCCCCAGCACCACACACACAAGCTCTAGTGCTTCTCATTGTTCTTTATTGCGGCACACGCACACAACTCATTTCAGATTGTCGTTGGTTTTGAGTTACGGCTGCCTTTTACCTTGTTTTATATATCAAGTTACTACTAGGCTAGCATGTGCGTATGTACGTAAGTAAACATGTACTAAACACAGAGCGTGAATTTATACTACTACTACTACTACTTTCGAGTTACATTTATCGATGAATATTCGCTACAAACAGTTTGGGAGACATTGGTAGGCGGCGACAGACAGTCCGCAATTCACACATATTATTAAGAGGTCCTTGCGCTTCTTTTTAAGCACGATATGTAACTAGCAATAGCAAGATAATGACTTTATTTCGCGTACTGTAAATGTAATTTAGACTTACACTTGGTTTATTTCACAGAAAACATTTTAATCTTGCACAAACTATACTACGCGTTTTCTCACATTACCATTACCATTTCGAGATATATAGGGAAAACTATCGATATACATTGCAGTGTGACTGCACTATGTTCTTTTAAAAAATACCATTTTCATGGGAATTACTAACCCCAAATATCCAGCTGACGAACAGCTGTATCAAGGCAACAAAATTTGAATTGCTCAACACTGTTAACATTGTTGCGCGATGATTCCAAAATAGAAAACTCGAGTATCAAATGGAAGGCAAMAAAGTAAAAAGATTATGTATGGCAATAAACTGTCATGCAAGTGGCTTGCAAGATTTTGACAATTTATATAGATTTCCCAAAAATGCAGMGCTCAGGCAAAAGTGGCTRGAAAATTTAGGTCTTACAAGCGATCGAATGCTTTCGTCGTCCCGATCCTTAATATGTCAACGACACTTCACTTCAACTTGTCGAGGAAAGAAAAGAATATTTTCTTGGGCGGTGCCAACACTAAATTTAGGCACAGGTAATTACAGCAATCAGCTCAAGTGCACACGCCACAACTTAAATTTTGTGCTTCGCAGATTCAACTAAAAAACTACATCAACCAATAAAGCCTCAAGAATTAATGCGAAAATGTTGTGTTAGAAACTGCGATTCAAAACCTCCAGAAATGTTGCATGCGTTTCCCATGAAAACGGACGCACGACGGAACTGGTTAAAGCTCTGCGGATTGAATGACATGAGAAAAAAGTACTACATATGCCAAAGACACTTTTCAGCTCGTTTCTTGCATGGCGATAAACTATTACCAGATGCATATCCCGACTTAAACCTTGAAGATACTGAACAGGCGTTAAATGTACAGACAATTGAAATAGAAGAGCATAATTATGAAGATGATGCCGATGACTCACCGGAAATTTACATCAAATTCAGTGATACCGACAAAGATTCAGTTGATCAGCCATGTGAGAGAAGCTGCTTGAATTGTGTGAATAACAGGAACAGGATTATTGAAATGCAGAATGAAATGGATGCAATGAGGAAAAAGATAATACTGCTGGAGAAACTGCTTGACCAGAAGAACGATAGCGAGGAAGCGGAGTACATATGGATGCTGCTCAAATGAATATAAACACGAGCCACGTTTGGCATTCACCATTTATTCATCTTATTGCATCTGGAGCTCAATCTGCAAGAGGCGCTGATTTGTGGGACAATACGGCATGGTAGCAGACATATTGGTAATCGCCTTGGCACGCTNGAAAATTTAGGTCTTACAAGCGATCGAATGCTTTCGTCGTCCCGATCCTTAATATGTCAACGACACTTCACTTCAACTTGTCGAGGAAAGAAAAGAATATTTTCTTGGGCGGTGCCAACACTAAATTTAGGCACAGGTAATTACAGCAATCAGCTCAAGTGCACACGCCACAACTTAAATTTTGTGCTTCGCAGATTCAACTAAAAAACTACATCAACCAATAAAGCCTCAAGAATTAATGCGAAAATGTTGTGTTAGAAACTGCGATTCAAAACCTCCAGAAATGTTGCATGCGTTTCCCATGAAAACGGACGCACGACGGAACTGGTTAAAGCTCTGCGGATTGAATGACATGAGAAAAAAGTACTACATATGCCAAAGACACTTTTCAGCTCGTTTCTTGCATGGCGATAAACTATTACCAGATGCATATCCCGACTTAAACCTTGAAGATACTGAACAGGCGTTAAATGTACAGACAATTGAAATAGAAGAGCATAATTATGAAGATGATGCCGATGACTCACCGGAAATTTACATCAAATTCAGTGATACCGACAAAGATTCAGTTGATCAGCCATGTGAGAGAAGCTGCTTGAATTGTGTGAATAACAGGAACAGGATTRTTGAAATGCAGAATGAAATGGATGCAATKAGGAAAAAGATAATACTGCTGGAGAAACTGCTTGRCCAGAAGAACGATAGCGAGGAAGCGGAGTACATATGGATGCTGCTCAAATGAATATAAACACGAGCCACGTTTGGCATTCACCATTTATTCATCTTATTGCATCTGGAGCTCAATCTGCAAGAGGCGCTGATTTGTGGGACAATACGGCATGGTAGCAGACATATTGGTAATCGCCTTGGCACGCTCACGCAGCTCATCCAATTGCTGCATTTGGGCTGCACCGCCCGGAGCCCCTGACTTCGCCTGTTTGTATTGTATGAGTACCAAGTCCATTGCTGCCACCATGACATCGGGTATGACTTTGACGATATCACCACTTAGTTGCTTTACAGTTGACAAGCACACGTCCACATCCTTAGTGGTATTGGGTATAATGTTTGGTATGCCCTCCAGCTGCTTTAGCGCCGCACAATGCTTTCCATCGTGATAGTCGTCAAAGAACTTCAGCAAATCACGTAACAATGTGAAGATCACATGCACCTTAGGCTCAATATCCGAGGARCCGGCAGCCGTTAGCTGGGTGCTAAAACGCCTCACTTCCAGACTAAGTCGGGCCCGTAATGTGCCCTCCGCTGGACGCTGCTGCACCACCTGAGCCAGCAGTATCGAAGTGTACTTTAAGGCCAGATTAAGATTCCCAGCAATGTCATAGAGGCGTATCGCCATCTCAAAGTTTCCGCGCGCCACCATTTCATCAGCCACCAGGCCAGCCATTGTGTGTGAATTAAACTCTGTGCAGCTAAACTGTCCAAAGAGGCCTCTGTGGACGAAAGAAGAGAATTATAAATCCAAGTATTTTCTTGCGAACCCAACTGTTATATTACTGATAATCTATACTGAGTGTGTTTAATTAAATGTATTAATAAATTCAACTAATATTTTTCTTTTT